CCGAACTCTCATCCAGATGGCCGGCTGGGACAACTCGTCTATCCGTCGCGCTAAGCTCGCCACGACAAACTGGCGCAGTATACGGTTGTCTGGTCACATACCCTTATTTCAGCTTTTTTTGGGATAGCAACGGCCTACACTAGCTTCCTCCATGAGGACTCCATAGTAAATGAAAGTTGAAGTAGATACTTGTCTGGACGAATCCAAGTGTAATTTAAGTTTTGAATGTTTTAAACCTAGGTATTCCATTCTTTTAATCGATAGGATGTTCTATCGATAGGATGTTTGATGATCGAAACGTTCAATCTTGTTCCTTGTTGTTCTGCAATATTCTAAATTTTAAGATAAATCTGAAAAAAATCTGGCTGTACCTTGTTTTTTTTAAGATCACGCGAATACCAGCTGAACGACTCTGCTCCATATTACCTGAACTCATTAGAACGGATCGCTCAACCAAATTACATCCCTACACAGGTTCTTTTCATTTGGTACCAATGTTTTATACGGATAAAATGTCAGTAATTTCAAGGACGATGTACTGCGTACTCGAGTCAAAACGACTGGTATCGTCGAGACTCACTTTACGTATAAAGACCTGCATTTTAAGTGAGTGCATGATCTATGTTGTTTGCTTTCTCTACGTTTTTCTTTTTCCAATCGAAGGCTTATAACCGCTAAGCAATGGGCACAGTTCGGCTTGGTGGGGGCACCAGTGGTACTTAGGGGGGTTGACTGACGTCACCTTGATAAGTCCTGTGTATTCCCGTGATCAGCGTGATTCTCGTATACCGTATTGCTGCCTCACAGGAGTTTACAAGTCTAACAAGGATAACCTGTTAATTAATATGGACTAACGAAGAGACCTCACCGAAGTGTTAACTACCGCTCCCAAGCCGAACACCGTCCATATTTGCAATCCTGGCGCTATTGTGGGTAAGTAGGAGATCCAAGCACATCTCACAATTGAAACTCGTGAGCTTTGGGGCTCAAACATGAGTTCATAGCTGCTGGTCGACCTGTCAGCGAAGAGAAGGTTGGGTGAGGTTTTCAAAGACATTCTGAATCAGGCGAGAGTTGGGTGAGTATTGGGAAAGGAAAAAGGGTTGTAAGGGCGAGTGGCTAGAGGTGAAGGATGAGAGTACAGGAAGACAAACGAGGCGGTGGGGTGGGTCCTACACAGAGTGAACAAAAACGTCATACCGGTGTCTACAAACATAGGGTCACATGGCATTCGTCCCCAGATGGCTGAGGCAGCATCTAGGAGGGCATTCCTCTAGTTGATGACGACCGCAGCTCCCTAGTTGATGACGACCGCAGCTCCCATTTTTACTGTGGAATAGTGAGACAAACTTCGATTACAGGATGCACTGCCTGACCAGGGAAGAGATCCTTCTCAGAGTTACTTTAGGAGCGGTCAGACTTTGCGACTGAAGCCGCCGTTGACAGCCGCAGCCATACTAATGCCGCTACAATGGCCACACAGGCTGCCAGTACTATAGGACGCGACCACATGCCGCCACCGATTAATCGATGCATTGCACCCGCTCTGTGTTTTGAAAGACGTATAGGATAGGCCCTGTCTGTCACCTTGCATCTAGTACCCTCATATTCTTCCGTACTATCCCAATACTAGCGGCTAGTGGAGCGATGCGGCTGCGCGACTGAGCAACGCGTGACTTGTTTCCTCCCCCCCCCCCCCTTACCCTTCCCCCTCTCTCCCTTTTCTTAGAAGACGAGCGGCCGGGCTGTTTGATGTCCGTTTGCGCCTGGGCTCGCATCTATAAGTGTTTGGAAACCCTGGGGTGCATTTGCGCGCTTGTCGACGAGCGCGTTAGCAAGCGCGCCGCAGCGTCGTCGAAGGGTCATCACTAAGTATGAACGCTGCTGGTGCAGAACTGACGGGGATAACAATTATGGCATGAACCTAGGTAACGAAGCAACCCTGAATGGAACGACTTTTTAGTGCCAGAAGGTTTTCGCTGTATTATAATGCCAATTTATCCAATGAGTTCTTCCAATGTCCTCCTCCCCCGCCCACCTCCCACCTTATTGCAATAGCAATTTTAATATTCTGTCGTTGCCTTCTTCATGTACTATGAGTTCTTCGATTTTTAGAATGTTTGATGTTGGTGGACAGCGTAGTGAACGGAAAAAGTGGATCCATTGTTTTGAAGGTGTTACTGCTATCATTTTCTGTGTTGCAATGAGTGAATACGATATGGTGTTAGCTGAGGATGACGAAATGGTCAGTCGTTCGTAGCCATAAATCGATAATTTTAAGTATTTGTTGTGGGAACAGCTATGTATATTCGATTTCAGAACCGCATGATAGAATCCATGAAGCTGTTCGATTCAATTTGTAATAACAAATGGTTCACGGAAACGTCTATCATCCTATTTTTGAACAAAAAAGATCTTTTTGAAGAGAAAATTAAGCGATCTCCGTTGACACGCTGTTTCCCTGAGTACACAGGTGAGCTCACCAAGTTTTTTTTATGGTTTCTCTTTTTTTTATCGCTTTGACTCTTCAGAATGGATTAGTTGGAACAAGGAATGGGTAACTGAGCCATTAATTAGGGATACGTCCTTGGCAGACTGTACGGGCGAGCTAGATCCCAAGAGAGCGCTATGGAAGTTCATGCTATTAGGCTGGTCAGGGATCTGCTTCCTACTCGGCCATGTATGATCAAAGAGAAATGGGTGTGCAGTATGGACGGTTTCCCTTATTAGGATGTCTTTCTTGACCCTCTCACTTTGGTGGAACTTCTCGCTGCTTTTTTGCTTATGGAGGATATTGAGAGAAAGTCCCAATTGGGCAAGGTCTCCCAGAGAGGTTTTCGGGGTGCTTTTGTGCGAACTGACCTTGTTATTTCTATAGAACATGGGTGTCGTGGAATATGCGTGACGAGTACATCGTCCTTCCTTGGCCATGACTGTGCTAACCTGAAGATCCTTTGAGAATTGAGGCTATGGTTAGGCATTTTTTCCGGTCTATTGCGTGTTGCGTGTCTATGGTGTGTTCATTGCTTATTAAGTGCAGAGCACATCGTTGTTGGGGAATCCCCAACAGGGGGGTCGTATTTGGCCGCCAGGAGAGGGGGTCGTATTTGGGCTGGGAAAAATTTATTTTGATAGTTGATTTTTCTCGCTTCACGGACGTTGTAAAGGGGGGGGGGTCGTACTTGGTCATTGTTGGGAGGGGGTCGTATTTACGTTTTGGCGTTGTAGGAGCGGTGGTTGACTTTTCGTGATTTTCCTGTTTCACACGTGCTATTTCCCTCCCTGCTCGACGTCTCGATTCGATGAAGAAGG